CAGGTTTGATGCTTTGTTACTGTTGTGAACGCTTCTTGAAGGTTGCCTTGAGCTTACAGTACCCACCGCCTGTTGTGCATGATATTGAATGCCCTGCAACTTACCAGCAGTGTGCACCTTTTATGTCTCGATTCCATTGCGCCGTGTTGACAGAGTGTGAGCCAGCTGTGGCGCAGTTGCTGCTTGGTGCGATATTGACAGACACAGTGAACCTTGATCGGAGCAAAGGTCGAACGTTCGACACCGATGAGGCAGCAGCGGCACTGGTGCGTTGCGTGTGTTCACATGGAGCGCGTCGCCGTTGCATTATCGTTTGTGTTGATCCTTCCTATCTTTGTCTGTCTGCTTGTCTGACTCCGTCTCCGTATGTTATACCTATCTGTTAGCGGGGTACACACACACACACACACACACACACACACACACACACACACACACACACACACACACACACACACACACACACACACAGATGAAGCCGTTCTGCGATGTGGATGCTGACAAATGGTTCAGTGCCATCCAAGAAGCCAAGTTCAACTGCGCACACTTGACAACAATGCAGCTTTTGCGGAAGGTACATCCACCTCGTCTCAGTCAAGTGCACCCCTACATATGCACAGAGACTATTGTGGGGATGCGGTGGCTCACATTGTGTGTGTGTGTGTGTGTGTGTGTGTGTGTGTGTGTGTGTGTGTGCACAGGACTACAAGGAGATTGGCGCTAGAAAGGCGACAGTTGGCTTTCCGGCTGTGACCATGGACCTGCAACAGCTCGTGCAAAAGGTGATTTCAAAGCACACACACAGACACAGACAGACAGACAGACACAGACAGACAGACAGACACAGACAGACAGACAGACAGACAGACAAACACACACACACACACACACACACACACACACACACACACACACACACACACAGACACAGACACAGACACACACGCACGCACTCCAACTTGCTTGTCGCTGTGCAGGAGCGCTTCCTTGAAGATCTTGAGGAGTTTCGATGCAGCCACCACCTCGACCTGGTGGTCATCATGTCCACGGTGTTTGCACCCGAGTTTGCACGGCAGCTCGCTTTGTACACACACGCCAGCCTTCGGTGCGTGTGAGCGTGAGCGTGTGCGTGGATCGCGTGGGCGGCATCTCGTGCTTCTCTTCCACACCTCTAACGCTTGTGCGCATGTTCCCGCGTGTGGTCGCTGCGTGACCAACAGAGCGACAGCGTGGTGGCCGGCGATTGTGGAGGCGCTAGAAGGGAACGGTGAGCTGCAGCTTGAGCGGTTGGCGCTCGAATCCCCCGACAGTCTAATTGCATATCAACAACACAACATCAAAAAGTCCCGCAAGGTGTGTATGCGTGTGTGTGTGTGTCTGTGTGTGTGTCTGTGTGTGTGTGTGTGTGTGTCTGTCTGCGGAGTGACTCTTATGCATGCGGAGGTTGGTCTTTCACGTGTCTTCAGACGCCTTCAAGCTAATTGTTGTGCATGTGTGCCTGCCGTGCGCGCTGTTTGCTGTCCTGTCGCAGGCTGTGCTTCCGTTTGTTCGGTCGGTCGTGGAAGGCCTTGCCGCGCCGCCACCCACAGGCAACGATAGAGCCAGCACCTGACCTGCTGCTGTTTGCACATGGGCACATTGCGGCAGCAGCACTCGTGTATCGTTGTGTTTGTTGTTGCACTTTGTCATCGACCCTGTATGTTTGCCACCACACATGCACGCCACACGAACATCACGTGACTGACACCGCATGCTGGGTGGTTGTTGGCTGATGGAATGTAACACCCAAGTGCACGTCAGATGCGCATTGCTGCGAGTGTTGAAGGTGGAGTTGTATTGCAGATTAAACCAAAACGAAAGCAACGGATGATGCTAGCGCGTGGAAGAGGTGTGCGCATGCAAACAATGAGGGGGGGGGGGGCAGTTATACAAGCAATCAAACCAGCAGTGAGGCACAATCAGGAAACCGAATGTGTACTGGCGTCCATGTGCACCAAAGCGCCAAAACTAAACCACGGAAAGAACGTGCGGGGTGGAGAGAACGAGGGTCCACGTCTAACAACGTGTGCCAAATCCACTTCAGAAAGCAAGAAAGAGGCACAACCCACCACCGCGAGTGGGATGAATAAGGGAGAGGGAGGGTAAGGTAAGACAGAGGCGAATGCCAATCCAATGCAGCAGAGCGGCGGGGGGAGGGGTAACACACAGAAGGTGAGGCAACACGTTGAGGAAAAGGGTGAGAAAAAGGCGTGTGCGCAGAGGAGGCAGCGGGAGCGAATAGAGAAGCAAGTAAGCCGCACCGGCGGCCATCAGTGGGTGAGTGAATCAATGGTAAAGAGGCAGATATGGAAAAGCTGGAGAGGTGGGGAAGTATTACAGGACCCGAAGGTGCAGGGTCGAGGTTGGAGGCACAAAAGGACATAACAACAGCGATGGATGGGCGTACACAGACACACAGACACGTGGGGCGTGGGGTGTAGTTGTTGGAGTTGTTAAGCTGCGTGTGAGACGTCGAGGTCGGATTGGGAGATGCCCTGCTGCAAGAGGAGGCGGGTGAGGTGCTCAATGCGGTGGTTGAGCCGCGCAACCTCCTGCTGGTATTCGTCGAGGTCCTTTGCATACACGACGTTCATGTTCTGCAGCCTTGAGTTTTCCGAGCTGAGCGACTTGACCTGGGCAGAGAGCTTGCGGTTTGTCTCCTCGAGCTCGCTGCACTTCTCGCGCTTCTTGTTTGAGCAGATGCGGGCGCTGAGGCGGTTCTTGAGGCGCCGCCGCTTGGCCTTCACCTCGGCAAGCTCGTCGTTGCTCAGGCCTGCACGGGAGGCCAGGTCCATAAGGATCTTAAAGTCGATGGTGGCCAGCTGATGGTCTGTCAGGTCCTCAAAGCGCTTCACATCATACGTGGGCGCACCGCTCGAGCTGCTGTTGCTGGACCTGGTGCTCGACTGCTGTTGTTGTTGGTGTTGTTGTTGTTGTTGTTGCGGGAAGGAGTGCTGTTGTTGCTGGTGTTGCTGGTGTTGTTGCTGTTGCTGACGGGGAGCAATGTGGGGTGCGGTGGGGACTGGGGTGAAGACAAGGGAAGGCTGAGGTGCCGGCGCAACCTCCTCTGACTTGACCTTTTGGTGTGGGGGAGAGGAGTCTTCCTGTTGCCGCTGCTCGGCGTGGCCAGAGGAAGTGGGCGCCGGTGGCGGTGGAAAGTGCGATTGTGTGGTTGTCTCGGGTGCTGCAGTGGTGGCCATGGAGGAGGATGAGGACATGTGAGAGTTGGCGTTGTTGTCGTTGTGGTCCTGGGCACTGCAATATTCTGGGGCGACGGCCGGGTGGTGGAAGGTGTGGGCAGTGCAGAGCATGTGGGGCTGGTGGGAGGATGATGCTGGGAGCTCTGGGGTCTGCGGGTGCTGGTCAGCGAGGAGGTCCATGTCGGTGGTGTCCATCATGGTGGGGGCGGGTGGGGTGGTGAGGCCATCGTCGTTGCCCATGAACATGTCTGGGCTGGGCTCGCGCTTGAAGAGTCGCACGTCCGAGTGGCGGGCGGCCATGTCGAGGCCCGCCGTCTCGTCAAAGGAGGCGAGAGGGGGTGCGAGTGGCTGCTGCTGGGCGTGGTGTGGGTGTTCGCTGTGTTGGTGGTGCTCGTCGTGGCTGTGTGGGTTGTGGTGGTGCTGGCCAAAGGAGACTGTTGGGGCCGAGTCGAAGAAGGAGAAGGAGCGGGAAGCGCCGCCGAACATGCGGTCATCATCCACAAGCATTTCCTGGCCAAGCCAGTCCTCGATTGTAAACACGTCGTTCATGCTGCGCATGTGTTGTGTGTTGTGTTGTGTTGTGTTGTGTGAGTGAATGTGTGTGTGAGTGAGTGTGAGTGAGTGTGAGTGGACATGTGTTGTGTGTGTGTGTGTGAGCCTGTCGGCTTGTGTGCGTGTGTGTGTGTGTCTGTGGTTGCATATGTTGTGATGTTCCCCATGTCTTTGAGCATACAAACACAAACAGCAGTCGATCAACACCAAAGACAGACAGACAGACAAACAGACAACGCGCCGTCACATTAAAGCGCAGTCGCTTGATTCTACCTGTGTGTGGTGGTCAGTGGCAGCGATAAGGATCCAAGGGGAGGGCTCTATCTCTCTCTCTCTCTCTCTGTCAACTGTCACTTGTTGAGACTTGCGAATGAAAATTGAGGGAAGGTGGCAGAGCGCGCGCGCGTGGGTGTGTGGGTGTGGGTGTGTGGTGTTGCTGCTGGTCTCGCTGGCAAAAAGGCAAAGGAAAGCAAGGGAAAGCAGAGGCAGGAGAAGCAGCAGGAGGAAGGAAGCGGCAGCGACCAACACAAAGGGCACAAAGAAGACGGGCAGGGAGGGGGGCGTCGCACATTCTGTTTTGAAAAAATTTATTATGCGCGTGCATTGTTGTTGATATCTTTGTGCTAATTTCGAAGGGGCGGGTCGCTTTCCGTTCCTGGGAATCCGTGGCGCAATAAATCGCAAGAACGCGGACACGTTTTGGATTCGGTGCGCGGGAACACCTCTGCCTGTCGTGTCGCGGGTTTGTTTTGATTTGGGTGGGGGTTGCTCGAAGTCGCATTGCTTGCTTGCTTGCTTGCTGTGGGTCGCGATTGCGCAAGTGCTTGCCATGGCGTTCGCCCTCCTCCCAGCAAGCCACAACCAGCAAGCCACAACCAGCAAGGGCGCGAGCAAACAAAACAACCCGCGACCAATCCTGCTGCTGGAGCAGAGAAGGTGAGGTGGCAACAACAACAACAACACGGTTCGTGCCTTGTGCGTGACAACAAACGGTGGGAGAATGAAGAGGCTGGTGTTCGTTCGTTCGTTCGTTCGAGCAATACTATGTGTGACTGATGACATGACATGGCGTATCGCCTTTTTGTTCGTGGTGGTTGTGAACCTTCCCTTCTTTGCCTTTTGCTTCAAACAGACAACAGACAAGCAGCCAGACGACGCAACGACGACGCAAGAAGCTCGGAAGGCGGACGAGATCGAGCGCACGGTTTTTGTTCTGTGAGACTGACGAAAGGGATTGAGCGAGACAGGAGGCGCCGCTCCCCCCCCCCCCCCCCCCACACACACATCCAACGACAAGGCCATCCAGTCGTGACAGACTGAGCTACTCCGACCTCAAACCACCAGCAGGAGAAAGAACACACGCATCACCCACACACACACAAACAACAGCAGCGACTATGGGGGACGACGAGAGCACAAAGCCGCTGGAGTATCGCAACGCACACCGCTTGCCCGTGTACACCGTCGTTTCTTCATCGGCAACCACCAGCATGCCCATCAACCTCCAAATGCTTCGCAGCGGCTTTCAATTTGGTGTGTGTGTGTGTGTGTCTGTGGTGTGTCTGTGTCTGTGTTCTGGTGTTGGTTCTTGTTTGATGTGTAATTCTTCTCTGTGCTTTTGTTGTAGCGTTGGCGTTGTTTGTACGCTTAGCGTTTCGCTGTGCGATCCCCCAACTCCCCTCACTTATACACACACACACACACACACACACACACACACACACACACACACACACACACACACACACAGAGCCTGATGTGAGCCGGTTGGGTACGGGAGAGGTGCAGCGACGGCCACGAACAACATCGGAACGGCTGCGTGACTTTCATGAGATGACGCTGCAGGCCGTGGCACAGGCCTCCTCCCGCCCTCGCGCAAACTCAACGCACACATGCGCAGCTCCCTCCGCCGTGCAGCAAAAACAACTGCAGCAGAAGCAGGAGGAACAGCATCGCCACCATCAGCAGCGGCATTATCACCACCACCAGGAGCAGAAGGAGCAGCAGCAGCAGCAGCAGCAGCAGCGCTTCTTTGCATCAAACGGCAGCGCCGACATGGCCGCCAGCCGGCCAGTGCCAACAGCCACAGCGGCAATGCATGCGCTCAACCTGCGCAGCACTGTCTCCTGCTCCACCCCTTTCCCCTCCTCGTCGTCGTCGGCACTCACCGCCACCACCGCTGCTGCCACCAGCACCTCCGGTATCGGGCGTGTACCTAAGACGAGCAGCACCCTGGAAGGCAGCGTGCTTGTGCGCGACCCGGCTGGCCTGCACCTGCCCCCGACCATTGTGAACCACGCGTTCCTGCGCTCGGGTGCGCAGTTTACGGAACCGCAGCTCGAGGTGGCGCGCAACAGCAGCATCCTCGGCGTCAGCAACGACAATGCTGCCGCCGGCGACCAGAACGAGATGCACCTGCACCGCTCCCGCAACAGGTGTGTGTGTGTGTGTGTGTTTTGCTTGTTTGCTGTGTGGTTGTGTGTGTATTGTTTGTTTGCTGTGTGGTTTTGTGTGTGTGTGTGTGTGTGTGTATTGTTTGTTTGCTGTGTGGTTTTGTGTGTGTGTGTGTGTGTGTGTGTGTTGCTTGTTTGTGTGTGCGTGTGTGTGCCTGCCTGCCTGTCTGTCTCCCTGCCTGTCTGTCTCCCCGGTTGTCTCCCTATCTGTCTGCCTGTCTGTCTGTCGGTTCGTTGGTCGGTCTTCCGCCCACTCTGCCTGCCCGTCTGCCTGCCCTCCTCGCCTGTGAGCACTCGCACGTGCGAACCCCTTCCCTCTTGCTCCATTTTCAACCTTTCCTCTACCCTCTCCCCTCTCTTTCTCCCCCTCTCGCCCATCATGTTGGTTTCCCTTTGCCATGCAGGCGCCTGGAAGAGTTTTATGAGCGGATGCAACAGCAGCACGCCAAGCCCGCCTGATGGGCATGTGCTGTCAAGCTTCCAAGACCAACTCATAGCAGCAGTACGTCTGTTTCGGTATCCACCACCATCACTACCACCATCACTACCACCATCACTACCACCATCACTACCACCATCACTACCACCATTACTACCGCCATCATCATCACCACCACCATCAACGGCAGAACCCCCTACCCCCTCCCCCAACACCCATCCACCATAATTATGATGGCACAACTCGTAGGGCAGTTTCCGACCCCTTTGTTACGACTACTAATGGGCCCCTCTTTGACCACCCCCCGCCCCTGGCGTCACCTTCCTCTTCTCCTCCCTCTTTACTTATTCACTTGCAGCGCGCATTAGCCACTGCGTTCTCAAGCCTTACCAAACAAGACACAAATCAAGCTCAGAGACGTGGTCACCAAGTTTGTATTGTAGCATGCACTCGTCCTACACTAACTGCCCCATGTGGTTGTGTTTTTTTGCCCGTGTTTGTATCACCTTATTGCCAAAGTCGTTCCTCTAGCGTGCTGTGTCTAACATAACATCAGGCGGTGTTGTTGTTGTTGTTGTTGTTGTTGTTGTTGTTGTTGTTGTTGTTGTTGTTGTTGTTGTTGTTGTTGCTCCTATTGGTGTTGTTGTTGGTATTGTGATGCTTCTGCGCAGTCGTTTTTCTTCCTCTGCGCACTCGTTCTCATTCCTATGCCTATGCACGCATGCACAGTTACTGTGCGAAATGTCCTTAGCTGTGTGTGTGTGTGTGTGTGTGTGTGTGTGTGTGTGTGTGTGTGTGTGTGTGTGTGTGTGTGTGTGTGTGTGTGTGTGTGATCTCACCACACCACACCACCACTTTGTTCAGCAACCAATTCAAAGTAAACTGACCATGACAACAAAGACACAACCACCACCAGCCAGCGTGCACAAACTCCCCATCCATCCTTAATTGATGTGAGTGATTTCCACATGACCATCAACTATGTTTCTATGCTTTAATTGCCATGCACGGAGTCTAGCAAGCGCTGGATGAAAACAGGGAGAGAAACAGAGGCGTGTCAGCTCCCACGTCTCACACGCGCGCGGCGCAACCCGCGTCCACAGCAGTAGAAACGAACAAAAAGAAAAAAAAAAAGGAGAGGGGGGGGAGGTTGCCTTTGTGTTTTTGGTTGTTGAGGAGCCTTTGTTAAGAGTGCATGAAGCGACACTAAGACAATCGTGGGAAAGGCACGCATGTTCCGAGTTTATGCGGTCAACACACAAGTGCCATACGCGAAACAACACGCACACAAGCACACACCACAACAGATATAGAACCAGCAACGCACTCGAGAGGGCAAAGGAAAGAGGGGAAAGACAGGCGAAGAGCGGCAAACAAAGTCGAGTTTGCGTCACTCACACACCCAGCACGATAACACAATTACACGGGAGGAAGGGGGAACAACAGACATGGCGACACAAGACGAGACGAGATTCAAAAAAGAACAGCAAACAAGGAGCGGCGCCAGCCGGCTTACTTGTCCTCACGCTCAGCCTTGATGTCCTCGGCTGTGGGAAGAACGTTCTTCTCCTCAGTCTTGGTGGGCTTGAGCTTGCTCTTGTCGAAGGCCTCGACCTCCTTCACGCTGGGCTTGTCAGACATGGTTCCTGGTTTGTCATATAAAAGGTAGTTGAGTTGTGTGTGTGTGTGTGTGTGTGTGTGAGCTGGGGTGTTTGGTAGTGTGGCTGCGGATGATTGTGTTGTCTTGTGTTGTCTGTGTATGGCTGTGTGTGGCTGAGTGACTGTGGTAGTGGTTGTGTAACGGATTGTGCGCCTTGTTGTCCCTTTTGTCGACACACCGCAGCCGCCACAGACACATCTATCTGCTCGCCCACAAAAAAGAAGACGGTCGTGCCGCTCAATCCATAACACAAACACACAAAACACAAACACAAACAACAACCAACCAACAACCAGGCAAAACACAAACAACAACAACCTCAAGGACCGGGTTTGCTGCCACGAACCGCTTCCCCGCTCATTCCCCCGCTTCCCCGCACAACCATCTCCTCTCACGTCCTCTCACCCACCGCCATCCCGTGCATGTATCTCACCTGTAGTTGTTCTGTGGAAGAGAGAGCTGGGGGTCGGCGACGGTTTCTTTGTGCGGCAGTGAACTGTTTGTGTTTGGAAGATGAATGCTTACCTTTGCTGCGCTCTCAGTTTTTCTCTCCCACTTTCGCTGCCTTGCTCGCTGGCGCTTGCTTCTTTGCTTCTTTTTCTTGGCTTTGGCTGTTTGGTTTGTTTGTTGTTTTGGTGAGGCAACCAACGATGTTCCCGCACAACACTCACAAAATTCCGATGCAAGGTTGGGCTGGAAGCATTGTGGATGTCTTTTATGAATAATCGGAGGAGCGGTTGCTGGCCACGTCAGGATTCCTACAACTCGCACACAACCACGAGGAAAAGCTGACCAAGGCACATATCCACCACCAGAAACGCCTCCAGAAACGCATGCTGAAAATAGATGCATACCTTCTACAAAAAGGCACGTCCTGGGTGCAATTGGCAACACAGTAAGCGCAAACTGCAACCAAAAGAAGGCACACGAAGGAATGGCGAAAAAAAGAAAGAAGCAAAGGAAAGTGCCACAAGAACCGCAACCAACCAACCAACCAACGACAATCAATCGGCCTTGCTGTGCTGGCTGGCTTGCTTCTTTGCTTGCTTGCGCTGTGACTGTAGTTCCGTTGTTGCCGATGCCTCCTCACTGGTACTTTGCGACAATCTGCTTTGCTTCGTCGGCCTTGCGGTACCACAAGTGCTTCATGTCTTCGGCAAGGGCAGCGTGGGACGTGTACTTGTCCTTGTCAAACTGGAACCAGTCACGCGTCCCTTTCTCAACAAACGCCTGCGAGCATTGGGGGATGGGGGATTGTGTGTGAGTGGGAACGTGTGTGTGTGTGTGGGGGGGGGGAGGGGGATTGTGTGTGGGAGTGGGAGTGTGTGTATATGTGTGTATGTGTGTATGTGTGTATGTGTGTGTATGTGTGTATGTGTGTATGTGTGTGTATGTGTGTGTATGTGTGTGTGTGTGTGTGGGTATATGGGAGTGTGTTGGGCGAGCGTGAGAAGGTGAGAGCGTGAGGCAACGAGGGTTGTGCGAAAGTCATCACACGCATAACACACACACATAACACACGCATAACACACACAACACACGCATAACACACACACACACACAACACACACCTTGAAGTCTTCGCAAAGCTCTTTGAACCGTGGTTGTGACGAGCAGCCCATCAAACCGCACGCCAATACAGGGCTGAGAACCTTGAAGATGCTGTACAACCTGCGGGTGCGCACGGTTGTGTGTGTGTGTGTTTGAGGGAGATGCAGGGAGAGACAGACAGACAGACAAGGCGGCGGATGTGTGAGATTGAGGTAGTCAGACACGTGCAGACACACGTGCAGACACACACAGACACACACATACACACGCATAAACATCTACACACTCGTACACACACGCACCTCTTGAGGAGGCCGTCGGGTGGCGACGTGCGCTCCTTGGCGCTGATGACGGACCAGATGGCTGTGTTCAGTGTCTGTTATAGGGGAGAGGGGAGAGGGGAGAGGGGAGAGGGGAGAGGGGAGGAGGAGAGCAAATGCAAAGAGAGCGTGTGTGAGTGTGTGAGTGGGAGTTGGTGAGCAGCAGGGGGGGGGAGTCAGCGTCATGAGTGTCAGCTGGAAACAAGACGCCCTCCAGACGCACTGCATGTGCGCTGCATGTATACATGTGGCGTACGTTCTGCTTGACGCTGGTTGGAATCCAGGAGTTTTGCAGGACAGAGGTCACTGTGCCTGGCAGATTCTGCAAAACCACGAGCGGAGAACGTTGAAGCATGAGTGTCGGGATTGAATGTGAGTGGGTGAAGGGGATGAATGAACAAATGGACATGGGGAGAACAGGAGAAAGAGACAAAGGCAGCAGGAAGAGACAAAGGGACAAAGGGAGAAGGAGAGAAGGGGAGAAGGAGAGAAGGGGAGAAGGAGAGAAGGGGACGGAGGAAGAATACGCGTACACAGCACAACACACAACTACACGCGTACACAGCACAACACACAACTACACGCGTACACAGCACAACACACAACTACACACACGCACATGCATAACTCCAGTACAGCACATGCACAACAGGACACACACACACACACACACACACACACACACACACACACACACACACACACACACACACACACACGCACGCAGCTACCTTCATGTCGTCAAAGGCGTCGAGGAGGATGATGTCGACGACGGCGTCAAAGAGGGAGAGGCGAACAACACCGCGCGGCTTCAGCTCGTCCAGCAGCGACGACGTGCGCCCTGGTACATGGCATCGTGCTTGAGGGGTGAGCAAGGGATGTCATAATAAAACTGCACACATGATCGCATATTAATGTCACCCACACCCACATGCACACATTCACACCCACATGCACACATGCACAAATTCACACCCACAAACACACACATACACGTGCACATGCACACACACATACACACACAAACACACACATACACGTGCACACATGCACACATGCACACATGCATACACAAACACACAAACACACACATGCACACCTTCCTGTGAGACTTGGTCGAGGAAGGACATCATGTTGTCGTAGGCGGTGTGGAAGGTGTTGAGATTTCCGCCGCCCTTCTCCACCAAGGAGCCGAGGAGGTCCCGCCCAAAGCGCGTGAACCACACACGAAACTCCTTGTCGCCCATCATCAAGTCAGACGCCTCCCGCACGCAGTGCAGGCGCGTGAGAAAGTCTGTCCTGTCTGCACACCCGGTCTCCTCCGTGCGCTCCACGCGACACGGCACGTCGCCTTGCTGCGCCAAGGCAAGCGCCTCCTCATACACGCTCACGCCACCTTCCTCCTCCTCTACCTCCTCCTCTTTCTTCTCCGCTTGCTTCGCCTCTGCACTGCGCGGGACACGTGTGGGCTCCCCCGCTGCTTCGCCTGCTTCTGCTGTCTCCTTGCGTGCCACCGCTGCTGCTGCGGCCTGCTTGCGGCCCGGGCGTTTGCGCGACTTGGAGCGGTGGTGCACGCGGCGATGGTGGCTATGGTGGCTGTGGTGGCGGTGCCGGCGATGGCGATGGCGATGGCGGCCGTGCTCGCCATCATCATCCTCCAGCTGCTGCTGCTGTTGTGTTGATGAGATCATGTCGCCCGCGCGGCTTGCGTCATCCTCGTCATCGTTGTCCTCAAACGCGCTCATCGTCGAGCGCGCAGACTGAAACGACGCATCGGACGCCGCATATTCGTCGTCGTAACCACTACCAAATGCATCTGCATCGCTGTCGTATCGACCGTCGTCGTCGTCGTCGTCGTCATCATCATCATCGCCACCGTCGCCAGGCCACCGGGCCTTGCCCTGCCGTGCCCGCGCGTGGGTGTGCTCGGGCGTGGTGCCCGTGTCATCTGTGCCGGCCTCGCACAGGCGGTCGAGTTGGGCCAAGCGGAACTGGCCCAGGGATACGGCGCCTCCCCGCTGGCCGGCCATGCCGTCTGCACCCTCGAATGTCTCCAGTGCATCGTACACCCTGCGCAGCACGCGCCTCAAACGCCGCATGCGTCGCGCATCCCCGCTCCCTGCCAGCGTGTGTGTGTGTGTGTGTGTGTGTGTGTGTGTGTGTGTGTGTGTGTGTGTGTGTGTGTGTGTGTGTGTGTGTGTGTGAGCGTGAGCGTGTGTGTGAGCGTGAGCGTGTGTGTGTGCGAGCGTGTGTGTGTGAGTGAGTGAGTGTGAGTGAGTGAGTGTGTGAGACAGGGACAGAGACAGAGACAGACAGACAAACAGAGAGTGTGCGTGTGTGTGAACAAGTGGGTGGGTGTCATTGCAGTACAACAGCTTGCTCAACAACACCGTGCATACACGTTGGAAACAGAACAGAAACACAGGAGAAGCTGGCGAGAGGCTTGTTCGTTTGTGGCTGGGAGGACATTGGTGGGGCTTACGCGTTGCGGAGACGAGCGCTGTTTCGATCCTGGTGCACACGGCATACAGGCCCTCCACGGCGGCATCACGCTGTCCGTCGCCGGCCTGGCCGGCCTGATCTGTGCCTTCACTGCCGCTGGACGAGGCGCCCGTGGTGAGCACCTTCTTCTGTTGTTGTCTGCGGCGCAACAACCACATGAGGAGGGCCATCATGGCCGCCCCAAACGCAAACGTCTGCATCCATGTGCATGTGTGTGTGTGTGTGCATGTGTGTGTGTGTGTTCATGTGAGGGTGAGTGTGCGCGTGTAAGTGTGAGGGTGAGTGTGCGCGTGTAAGTGTGAGTGTGAGTGTGGGCGTGTGTGATGTGTTTGTGTGTGTGATGTGATGTGGTCGTGTGCGTGTGATGCTCATGACACTTGAGCTGTGCTTCGTTGTGTCACGCGGCAGCGAACCCTTGAGACCTCACCACACACACACACACACACACACACACACACGCAGACACCCACACACACACACACACACACACACACACACACGCACACTGCTTTCCATCGATTGCAGCCACGCTGCTCATCACATCGTCTGCCATCATCACTTTGTTGCTCGTGTGTCCCCTCTCACCGTGGCTTGTTGAGCTGGGCGCATCTTGTGTGTTCAAAGTGAAAATTGACTTTGTCACAGAGGCAAAATTGACGTCCGAACGTGTTGTTGCGCCCCTCAACAAGCAGGACCACGCCACCAAACACCACGAACACAACGCGTGCATGGCTGCTGGGCGACGGACAGGGAGGCGCAAGGCCAAGGCGGAGCCAGAGAAGGAGAAGGAGGAGGACGACGTGCTTGTGATTGAAGACGACGAGGACGAGGAGGAGACTGGCAGCGTGAGGAGGCGCAGCCCGCGGGTTCAGATGAACAAGACGCGGAAGGCGCGGCAGTCACAGGTCGCGACGACGCCTGCTCCATCTTCGTCTTCAACAGTAGCACCACGCCGAAGCCCACGCCGGAAGCCACGCTCCAAGGAAACGCCAGCCCAGCAGCTGCGCAAGGCCACAGCGCGAACCTCGTTTGTGGGCAGCGACGACGACGACGACGATGGCGATGATGACGATGAGGACGATGTATGGGAGCCGGACGTGGATGAGGAAGCGTCCAGCAGTAGCAGCAATAGCCCGTCCAACTCTGACTCGGACTTTGACGACCTGCTGAGCAGCCCCACCGTGGTCAAGCCAACGCCGCCGCCACCACCACCAGAACCGCAGCCCACCAAACGCGCGAAGCGGACTGCGGCAAGGAGGAGGAATGCACGTGGAGACGGTGCAGCAGGAAGGGCGTCCACACCTGCAGCCAGCAGCGGCACCAGCAGTGCATCTGCTTCGCAACAACGCAGGAAAGTGGGCAGAAAGAAGAAAGAGACTCTGGACGAGCGCATTCACCGCCTACACCCGGAAATCAAAGAAGGTGGCTGCCTCGCGGTTTCGTGCGTCTAAGTATATGTGTGTATGAACTCACTCCACTCACTCCACTCACTCCACTCACTCACTCACTCACTCACACTCTCACACACACATATACTCACTCACTCACCCACTCTCTCACACACACATATACTCACTCACTCACTCACTCACTCACTCACTCCACTCACTCCTTCCATGTGGGCTGCTGATCGCTCGCGTTTTCCTGTTGCATTCCAACACCAACCCCGCTTCCCAAACATACCTCTTCACACCACTGCCACGACTCGAACCCAGTGTGGACCACGCTTCGTGGCATTGATCCATCCACGGAGCTGGACATTCCAGAGCAGCCCGAGAACCTTGCCGTGACCCTTCTGCCTTTCCAACGCGAAGGCCTGGCGTGGATGATCAACCAGGTGTGTGTGTGTGTGTTGTGTGTGGATGTGTGTGTGTGTGTAGATGTGTGTGTGTAGATGTGTGTGTGTGTGTAGATGTGGATGTGCGTGTATGTGTGCGTGCATGTGTGCGTGTGCGTGTGCGTGCGCGCGTGTGTTTCCGATTGACGCTGCCGACTGATGGCTTTTGTTTGTGTTGTGTTGTGTGTTGCAGGAGAGCAACTCTGACTTTCAGGGCGGCATTCTCGCTGACGAGGTACGAGTGAGGATGGATGGTGGTGGAGGCGATAATCGCAGTGGTGACGACGATGCCGGTGGTGTTGATGGCGATGATGGTGATGATGATCAGCTTCTTGTCAACCTCATCACCAAAACACACACATACACGCAAATACACGAATGCACACACACACACACACACACACACACACACACACACACACACACACACACACACACACACACACACACACACACCGCAGATGGGGATGGGGAAGACCATCCAGACGATTGCGCTGTTGCTGTCGCGGCCATCGCAGGCCGAGCCGCGGAAACCAACGCTCGTCATTGCTCCCACCGTCGCCCTCTTCCAGGTGAATGTCGCTTCCTGCCGACGTGTTGTGTGCATGTGCGTGTGTCTGTGCGTGTGCATGTGCATGTACGTGTTGTGCTCTGATGTCGTAGTTGGTGAGCCACGTTTCTTGCTTGTGACATGTATTCTCACACACACGTACACACACACACACACACACACACACACACACACACACACACACACACACAATCCCTCTGGCGTGCAGTGGCGAACGGAGGTGGAGGCCAAGTCGAAGCCCGGGTCGTTGAAGGTGCTGGTGTATTATGGCAGCGGCCGCAACCGCGACGCCGACCACATCACGTCGTTTGATGTCGTCCTCACTACCTACGCCACCGTCGAAGTGCGTTTCACTGAGAGAGAGAGAGAGACAGAGAGATGTGGTGTTTATGTATGTGTACGTGTGCAGGTGTACAGGTGTGCAGTTGTGCAGTTGTAATGAGTCCCAGCTGCGCCTTCCTGCCCCCTCCCCGTCTCTCTGTTCTCCCCCCCTCTCTCTCTTACACAGTCGCACCTTTTCACGGCCCTTGTGCTTGGTTGTGCAGAGCGAGTGGCGGCGGCAACAGAGCGGCTTCAAGCGCAAGGGGGAGAAGGTGAAGGAGAAGTCGACCATCCACTCCATCGCCTGGCATCGGGTGGTGTTGGATGAGGCGCACTTTATCAAGGATCGCTCCTGCAGTACTGCCCGCGCCGTCTTTGGCCTCAGTGCAAAGTACAAGTGGTCCCTCTCAGGCACCCCGCTCCAGAACCGCGTGGTGGGTGTCGTGTTGGTGTTGGTGTTGGTGGTAGTAGTGCTTGTGCTTGTGCTTGTGCTTGTGCTTGTGCTTGTAGTTATGCTCGTTTTCTTTGCCTGTGCCATCCTGTCTCACTCAACCCCATCCCCATCCTCACGTGTCTCCCCTTCTCGCTGTCCTTCACACACACACACACACGCACACACGCACACACACACACACACACGCACACACACACACATACGCACACACGCACACACACACACACGCACGCACAAACACACACACGCACGCACGCACACATACACACACGCGCGCACCATCTCCCTCTATTCCCCCCTCCCCCCAAATTAATTCGTGCGCAGGGTGAGATGTACTCACTGGTCAAGTTTCTCAAGGGCGATCCGTTTTCCTTCTACTTCTGCCGCCAGTGCGAGTGCAAGTCGCTCACGTGGAACTTCAGCAATTACAAGCGGTGCGATGACTGCGGCCACGCCAATTGCAGCCACTTTGCCTGGTGGAACAGAGAGATTTTGCGGCCCATCCAGAAGTTTGGCCCCGTCGGCGCAGGCAAGGTTGCCTTTGACCATCTTCGCCAGCTGCTCAGGTGAAATGGGGCAGCTTTGGAACCCGGAGAAGGAGTGTGTGTCTGTATCTGTGTGTGCGTGTGCGTGTGTGTGTGTGTGTGTGTTTGTCTGTCTGTGTCTGTGTGTGTGTGTCTGTGTGTCTGTGTGTGTGTGTCTGTGTCTGTCTGTGTGTGAGCAGTTGCGCGGCACATGTGCGTCCACACACGTGTCCCTTGCAACTCCCTTGCTGATTTGTCTGCCTTGCATGGTTGCCATATATCCCGACCACACTCTCTCACACCCACACAACGATACACTGTACACATGCCTCCCACCCCCCTCCCCCAACAACACACAACGAAAATCAGTGCCATCATGCTGCGGCGCACCAAGGTTGACCGGGGCAGCGAGCTTGGGCTTCCCCCGCGCATCATCCACACCCGCCGTGACCTGTTTACACACGAGGAGGAGGACTTTTACGAGGCGCTCTTCTCCGAGTCCAAAACGCGGTTTCAGAGCTTTGTGCGTGCAGGCACGGTGCTGAACAACTACGCGCACATCTTCGAGCTGCTCATGCGCATGCGGCAGAGCGTGAACCATCCGTGGCTCGTCACGCACCGTGTGGACAGCAAGGACGACAAGGACGTGTGCGGCATCTGCCACGAGTTTGCAGAGGACCCCATCATGAGCGGGTGCAAGCACACGTTCTGCCGCGAAGAGGTGGAGCTGTACATTTCCTCCAGCTGCGCCGAGGTTCCCGTCTGCCCCGTGTGCTTTCAGCCCCTCTCCATCGACCTCACACAGCCCACCATCGAAAGGTGTGTGCGTGTGTGTTTGCAATTGTGTGTGTGTGTGTGTGTGTTTGCTATTGTGTGTGCGTGTGTGTTTGTTATTGTGTGTGTGTTTGCTATTGTGTGCGTGTGTGTTTGCAATTGTGTGTGTGTATGTGTGTGTCCAATGGATGTGCAGCCTCGCCCCCAGGGAGAATACTCACACACGGACTTGCTTTCACACACACACACACACACTTGTCTCATCGTTGCACAGGCCCAAGATTGCTGAGAAGTCAAAGAGCAAGAGCATTGTGCGACGCCTGGACATGGAGCGCTGGCAGAGCTCAACCAAGATTGAGGCCTTGCTTGAGGAGCTCACGGCCCTGCAGAGCGACGTATGCGTTGCGCGTGTGTCGACGTGTGTGTGCATGTGTGATCGTGCAAATGTGTGCGTTTGATCTTCCATGTACCAACTCAACACGAGCAGCCCACAGACGACACACAGACAACACACAGACAACACACAGGCAACACATAGGCAACACACAGACAGCACACACACAGCCAGACACTCAACACACTCACAACGCACTCACCCCTTCTCAAACCACACTCTCGCGTCTCCAACAACTGTATCTGGTTCTTGCTTGGCAGACGCACTGCATCAAGAGCATCATCTTCTCCCAATTTACGCAGTTTCTTGACCTACTTGAGTGGCGTCTCCAGCGTGGTGGCATCAGGTTGGTGTGTATGTGTGTGTATGTTACGTGTTGACGTCCTGTGGTGTGGCTGCTTCCTTTTCGCCACGAGAACTACACACACACACACACACACACACACACACACACACACACACACACACACACACACACTGTGCAGGTGTGTCAAGTTGGATGGGCGCATGTCGCCTGCCAGTCGTGCTGCTGTCATTGACGCCTTCAACACAAAACCTGAGATTACCGTCTTTCTCATCTCCCTCAAGGTGAGCGTGTGTGTGTGTGTGCATGCGTGTGCGTGTATGCGCGTGTGTGTGTGCGTGTGTGTGTATGCGTGCGTGTGTTGCATGCATGGTGCATCCGTGTCTTTTTGCGCACAATCCTCTTACACATTCCCCCAACCTCCCTTGGCTCATGCTCGCTCATGCACACGCTACATTCACAGGCGGGTGGGCTTGCGTTGAACCTGACTGCGGCGAGCCGGGTGTACATCACGGACCCGTGGTGGAACCCCTGTGCGGAGGCGCAGGCCATGGATCGCATTCACCGCCTGGGCCAGAACCGGCCCGTGGAGGTGCGGCGCCTGATTATTGAGAACTCCATCGAGAGCCGGATCGATCAGCTGCAGGAGAAGAAGCGCCTTCTCTTCGAGAGCACGGTGCATACATGCGTGTGCGAGTGTGCTTGTGTGTGTGTCTATGCGAGTGTGCTTGTGTGTGTGTGTGTGTGTGTACTTGTGTGTGTACTTGTGTGTCTGTCTGTGTGAGTGCGTGTGTGTACTTGTGTGTCTGTCTGTGTGAGTGCGTGTGTGTCTGTCTGTGTCTGTCTGTGTGAGTGCGTGTGTGTTGTCTGTGTCTGTGTGTGTATGTGTAGGTGTGTGCGAGAGAGAGAGAGAGAGAGAGAGAGAGAGAGAGAGAGAGAGAGAGAGAGAGAGAGAGAGAGTGTGTGTGTGTGTGTGTGTGTGTGTGTGTGTGTGTGTGTGTGTGTGTGTGTGTTACTCTCCCTCTTCAGCTCCCCCCCCCCCCTTTTCCCCCTCACCTCGTCCAAACAACTGCGACACTGTCACAGGTTGGAATGAACTCATCCGCACTAAACCGGCTCACGGAAGAGGACTTGCGTTTCTTGTTTGTCCTGTGATTACCCCCCCCCCCGCCCGCTGGGTCGTGTGGGTCTTGTGAGTTGATACTCTGATAGCTCTGATAGCTTCATACACGAATACACGCATGAACGCACTAACGCAGTGGTTAAATTACACAAACAAAAAAAACAAGGAAGGAAGAGAGCCTGAGAGCAGGTACAAACGCTGTAAGCATGCACCCACACACACACACACGCACAAAGACACACAACAACCACACACGACACAGCAAAACCACAAAAAAAAAAAAAAGTTGAACATACGCTTCACAGGGTTTCGCGTGTCATCCTCATGCGGCAAAGTCTGCAAGTAACTAGCTCGAGGGGGCATCGAACCAGACACTTTCAGCTTTTGTTGCGCAGGGGCCATGCTAATCTTCTCTGTATCTGTCCAATTTTAGTATGAGTCCACCCCCGAAGGGGGGACGCTAGCGTTTGTTACATTGGCCTTTATAAACCCTCTCTTCTGGTTAATTTATGGTGTTTCATCCACAATTTTTTACTCGAATCGAAAATTCAGACAAACCTTCAACAAAAAATCGGCACCACAGCACTGTTTGTGTTTTTTTTTTTTGTTTCGGCCGGCTTCGTTCCTCTCTGTCTCCGCACAGCTCAGCAGCGGCAGCACTGCTCAAACCACCGCCCACCAACCAACAACGCATATCCACCCCCACCTCGCTCGCGTTGACGTCCTTCCTTCCATCACAACCCCCCTCCACACACACACACACACAAAAAACCAGCGATGGCGTACTCCATGCAGATGGTCGAGAACTTCAAGGAGGCCTTTGCCCTCTTTGACCACAAGAACCAGTCTGTCATCGACGTCGAGAGCCTCGGCCGCGTCATGCGGTGCGTGTTTGTGTGTGTTGAGTTGTGTGTTGAGTTGTGTGTTGTGTGTTGCGTTGTGTGTGTGTGGAGTTGTGGGTTGAGTTTTTGTGTTGAATTGTGAGTTGTGTGTGTTTATTGGTTCGTTTGGTTCGTTGCCCGCGTCGTGAGCCACATGCGCCTATGCCTACGTGTGTGTGTGCGTTGTGGGGTGTGTGTGCGTGTGTGTGTGTGGTTCGCTACTTTCATCCTGTGTGTGGGCTACTCTACGCTTCACAACTGGCTCACCTCTGTTATGGCCAACAACACCCAACAACACCAACAACACCAACTACACCAACAACACCAACAACACCAACAATTAACACCCAAACTACCCAACAGTGCTGTTGGTCTTGACCCATCTGACGATGAGCTGAAGAACATGATCACAGAGGTCGACGGCTCAGGTACACAACACACACACACACACACACATATGACCTGCAAATGAGACCCTTCCACATGAAAACAGCCAGTCACCCATGAAAACAGCCAGTCACCCACACATTCACATGATGCTCGCCCTCCCCCCCCCCACACGCACACACACAACAGGCAAGAACGCTGTCGACTTTGCCGAGTTCATGAAGATGATGTCCAAGCACGGCACTGACACAGCACGCGAGGTCAAGGAGACCTTCAGCATCTTCAACTCGAGCGGAAGGTGCGTGCCGACAGCGTCCATTCAACGCACCCTGAACCTCAAGAAGAACGAGTGCTCTGTCGTTGCATGTGCGGCGCGTGCGTGCATTCATTGTCCGTCACGTTCCCGCACCCAACAACAGCAATTTTCGTCAAGCAGCCACGTCCCACCACTCACAACCTCCATCCTTTTGTGTTACGTCGTCGTTTGCTTGTGTGCTGTCATTCTCAGTGGTCAAATCTCACGGGCAGAGCTCAAGGTTATGATGGACAGGCTGGGCGAGAAGTACGAGGAGAAGGTAATCCAACCATTGCACGGGACTGGCCTGCCATTTTTGTTTTGTCACTTGGTTTCAAGTGCACCTGAAAGGACGGCGGGCGAAGGCGTTTTGTGACTGTAGTGTGGCAGTTTCACGACAGTGGTCGTCGCTGTCGCTGTTGAGCTTGTCTATTGTGGTTGTCTGTTGAGTTTGGGCTTGCGGTTGACGTCTCACACATGCTTTCGCCGTGTTTCTTCGTCGCAGGACCTTGATGAGATGATCAAGACCATTGACAAGTCTGGCAACGGCGCTGTAAGTGGCGGCACAAGCAGACGCGTGCATGCACATGCATGACAGCGGTGTGCGTTCACCCCGTTCGTGTGTTCATGGTCCTGTCGTTTTTCCAATCGCTCATTCATTCGCTCGCACGTGCATTTTGTCTGTCTTCTAGGTGAGCTTCGAGGACTTTGAGGCTTGCATCCTGGTATGTACCACAGCACGCCATGAAGAGAACACACACACACACACACACACACACACACACGCACACACACACACACACACACACACATCAGCAGGCACATGCACTGACCCACGCAGTCGCACACAAACACACTGAGATACACATGGACACACGTGGACACCAAGCCCTCCACCGCATACGCACACACACACACACACACACACACACACACACACACACACACACACACACACACACACACACACACACACACACGCACACACGCACTCACGCCTGTGTACGGTCCACTGCTCTCTGTTCTCGTGTACAGGGCGATGACGAGGAGGAATGAGCACTGCGTCTGTGTCCGTGTTCCCGCCTTCGTGTGTCTCAATGTGATGCATCTCGTGTACCGTTGCTCTTTGTCGTCTCAGCCCAGCTGTGTGTCGGTTTACGAACATGCTGTTTGCTCGTTCCTGTACTCTGCTTCCCCCCCCTCTCCCCCCGTTTGTCGCTGCCTTACTACCATTCTCTCTCCTTGAGTTAAACCTCTTTTTTTTTTTGTGCTTGCCATATGTGTGCATGTGATCGGTTGTTTGGTTCACAGTCCCGAGGGGCTTTTCTCCTCACCGCAATGCTGTGCCTGTGTCTGTGCAGCTGTGCAAAGGCTTGCGTGCTTGCATGTCATGTTGTCCACATCACATGATGGGCAGCATCCAGTCTGGCGCGTCCCGCACACACGCACGCACACACGCACGCACGCGCATGGCGGGTTGTTTATGTGATTAAAGCAGTCCCCACACTCACACAAACAGGCACGCGCACACGGAAAAATGTGCTTGTGCAAGAGGGAGAGGGAGGGAGGGAGAGGGGCAGTGCAAGCTGAGACATGGAGCGAACTGTGTTGCTAAATGGCGTGTATGAACACAAGCAAGTGGCACAACCCAACAACAAGCAGAGCAATAGCACAGCCATCGTTGTCCACAACAGTCACACACACAGACAGACAGACAGACACACACACACAGACACACACAGATTTTGTTGGAGGTTGACTACGGTAGTGCGGTTCAGAGCTGGACTTGGTGCTGCTCAAAGGGTTTGCGCAGCTGCTCCCAGAACACAAACGTGAGCACAGTATGAGGCCCAAGACGCAGATACAGCGGCATCACGCCCTGCACGGAAGAAAGCAAGAGCCAGAGCCAGAGCCAGGGGGAGGGGGAAGCAAACAGAGCCAAGATGAGGGCTGGGGTAGAAATAGGGGTAGAGAAGCAAGTAAATGCACACAGACAAACACCCAGAGGGAGAGAGAGAGAGAGGCACACGCACACACACGCACAGAGACGGTCAGAGAGACACATAAGCACATACACACACAGACACACACAGACACAGACACACAGACACAGACACACAGACACAGACACACAGACACAGACACAGACAGACAGACACACACACACACACACACACACACACACACACACACACAGAAACACACCTTGTAGAGGCCGCGCAGCCCCTCTGTGCGGAAGATCTTGACGAGACAGTCGCCAACGCTGCGGTAGTATAGGCCCTTCTTCGTCTTGGGGTCAACGGGCTGGTTGTACAGGCGCGTGGCGACAACATCAAACGGATTCATGGCGACCGCGACAAACATGCCTGCAAGCATTGATGCGGAGAAGTGGAGCAGCACACCCTCTTCCATTGGCGTGTACTTCTGCAGCACCTCACGGCTCTGGTTGGTTGCGGTTGTTGGTTGGTTGGTTGTGCGAGTGTGCGAGAGAGGGTGTCATGTGAGTGAGTGACAAGCAGCCACACAGAGCAGCGAGACAGAGCAGCGACACAAGGGTCATGAACGGGGACTACACCACGACCAACATCAACCTCTCTCCCCGCAACACCGCCCACCCCTGATCCAACTCGCGAGCCAACCTGCGAGTACGTGGAGAGCTGGACGCTCGATCCGACAATGAGGCGTGGGATGGAGCCTGTCACGCCACGCCACAGGCCCTTCACGCCAGACTCGTGCAGGATACCGCGAAACGCATCCAGCCCAGACTTGTGGTGGTGCTGTCATGCACGTGTACACGTGGATGGTGCATGCGAGTGGGTGAGAGAGTGTGTGTGTTGTGCATGTGTGAGTGTGTGAGAGAGTGTGTGTGAGTGAATGAGTGAGTGTGTGAGTGAGTGAGTGTGTGAGTGAGTGTGTGAGTGAGTGTGTGAGTGTGTGTGCATGCGAATGAGTGTGCGGGCGCGTGGAACGGAAGCGTTGGGCTTAATGTTCCATTCCCAAAATGCAGACGCATTCGCAGCCTCACTGGTGCTGTGCGTGCTTGCAAGCAAACAGGAGGAACCAGACCTGGTAGCCGACAGCGGCCTGCGTTGCACACTGCGCCTGCTGCTGCGTCTTGACGAGATAAAACGGACTACCAAAACACGACGACACAGCTCCGGACACGGCGCCTGTGTGTGTGTGTGTGTGTGTGTGTGTGTGTGTGTGTGTGTGTGTGTGTGTGTGTGTGTGTGTGTGTGTGTGTGTGTG